CCCATTTAGCATGTCCAATCGATACTGGCAATTCTAATGGTTCCCATTTAGCATGTCCAATCAATACTGGCCCAAGGGCAGACTTACCCACCTTCAGTTTTACAACATCAGGTAGAAGGAGTGTTCCTTAGACATAATATTCATACCAATGATACATTCAAGTAAGGGAGATGCAACTACTTCATACATCTGTTTAAATCTTTCAGTTCTCACCCAAGCTTTCACCTTACTGCCATCAGCTGTTGCATCCCCGTATCTCCCCAGTCTAACCTTAGGCCTCTTCAAGATTTCATTGACAGGTTTTGGGATGACAATACATTGGGCTCCTATGTCCAAGAGTGCCAAGAAGGTCTCTTCCCCACTCCTAGGCCATTATACCCACACATGTGCATATGGCCTCAGGTCCCCTGCTGCAGGTTTGATTAGAAAACCCTGGCCCCTCATCAGTCTGTATCTTCATCAACTAGCTGAGCCTCTACTTCAACTTGTCATGGGTGGGACTTCCCATCATTAAATTCCTCCCGAATGGAGTGAATAGAATGGGCTTCTTTAGGCCTCTTTAACGTTGGGGGACAAGCAGGAGTTTCTGTTGGTCCACCCAACTTCCTGTAGTGCTGCATTAGCACCTTTGTCTTGACGTCATCAATGTTTGCTACATTCGCTCCATCCCTTAGTAACCACTGACAAATCTCCAACCTGCTGAAGTAAGTTCTTTCCCCATTGCCATTTCCCATTCTCCTATTAATCACTCTTCTATTTCTTGCATCTGTAAGACTCATATGGGGAAGCTGTGCCAGCAGATCCAACATGGCTTCCTGGATCGTTGCTTTGTCTTACAGTAGCAAGGTTACATGGAGTGCCCATGGAGAAGGGGCTCCCTTGATTACCGTATCTGCCATGACCTGTGTAAGGGGCATACTCATTAGGGGATATCCTGATCACCATAGCCATTCCGGCATGGCTTATATAATATAAATAGCACATTAGCTACTTCCTGTGGACTGTTCCAGGGGGTATTTAGAGGGGAAGGAGAGAGGTTTCCTTCTCAAGGTAAAATAAAAAATCCTCACTGCAAATCGTATCCAGTGCCCCAGGCTGGCTGTCCTATCTGGATTAACCTGCTGTGTAACTGGATCTTGGATCATCATTCATGCCTGTTCCATAGTGAGTTGTGGGTCTTGCATCAACCCAAACTTACTCTTCCATTCTGTAGCATTCAAAACTAAAGACACTGCCCCGAATTAGTTGCTCTCACAATCCATTTTAGTATAGGTTCGTCAGGAAGCTCATGATACCCGTCTACAAACTGAATCAACTCTTTTACACTATACCTCCTGGTTTCAAGTTTCTTGGTTTTGCCCCTTCTCTTCCTGGACTACCTTCTTGGTGACCAGAGGTCAAAGGGGTACTGCCTGTTGTTCTAATACAATTTTTCCTTTCTGGGTAGGCTCTGAGACCAGTGGTGTTATTGTTGTTATGTGCCGTCGAGTCAGACCTGACTCATAGTGAGCCCTCCTTGGGTTTCTGAGGCGGTATCATTACAGAAGTAGATTGCCCAACCTTCCTTCCAAGGAGTAGCTGGTGGGTCTGAACTGCCAGCCTTCTGGTTAGCAGTCAAGTGCCTTAGGCACTATGCTACCAGAGCTCCCAAGACTAGTGGTAGTAGCTCTGATTAGACCAGATCTGGCTTTGGTTCAGTGCTACAACCTCCCATACATTCTTTCCCCCTGCCATTGCAGCTATTATCGATAACAGCAACCAAAGAACTGTAAGTCTTACCCTTTTCCTTATCACTCAGTATTTCCATATGCATGCAACTACCCAATTCCTCAGGAGTTAGATCCACAACTCCTAAATCCCATAAATAACTGATCAGAACAGAACAGCTGCTTCAATCCATGAGTATTTTTTAATCCCATCCAAAAAACAAAGGTTTCTCATTCTCTTGTTTATCCGCCACACCCCTGACCCAAAAAAAAAAAAAAAAAAAAAGCCTAGACCATTGCAGTTCAGTGAGTCTGGGCTGTTGCAGCAAATCCCACTTTCTCTTCCTCCCCTTAGTGCTTTCCCTCCTGTCTTAGGGTTTCTTATTTCATTGTAACATTTCACAGAACTCATACACTGCCAAGGAAATGATGCACATGGTGGTGGAGGCTGGAAAGTTGGCAAGTCCCAAATCTGTGGGTAGGGGTAGGTCTTGAGAATTCTCCTTACTCACGTAGATGCAGGGGCTGGCAAACCCAAATCAGCAGGTCAGACAACTGGTTGCTGTCTCAAGTCCAGGGGCGAGATGATGACAAACCAAATGCAGGATCCGGAGCAACAGAGTGACTTTGCAGCACATTCACATTTATGTCCTCAAAGAAACTAAAGGAGGTGACTTGAGTCACACTCTCCAGCAAGGTGGGACTCAAGATACATTCCTCCTTAAATAGGCACAGAGGCTAGGATTTACAATACATCACCAAATGAAGGACAATAGCTAGAAGGGCCATATTAGGCAATTCACTGCACTGCACTCGGAAAGGTGTGTTATTATTCATTCCATACTCACTAGACCACTACATTCCAGACTGCGTGCCAGGCAGTGAGCGGGAAACAGAGGTAGAAGAAACAACACTGTCTCAGAGATGATGTGATCAAATAGTATCAAGACAATATTCCCCTTAAAAGACTCTCCTCTATACTCAGGTGTATAAATCCCAAGGCAGGAAGTCCCAAGAGTTATTAGATGTAATTCCAGGAGACAAAAACCAGAAATACCCAGTAAAGTCTTCCAGTCTAAGCCATGAGAAATTCTCAAAGTGGGCAAAGGCTGCAGACAAACAGTTGGGATGAGGAATTCCACAGAGAGCCATGAGTACCTTATCTCAAAGAATATGATGTTTTATGGAGACCTAAGAATGGCTCGTGCAACTGCAGACTGAATTAATGAGTTTAAGGACCCATTTGAATGAAGTCAACACCCAGTTTGTGGAACAAGGGAGAAGTACAGGAATGACACCAAGCATACTCTATCTCTCGTGGGGTCTCATCTTGCCAAGTATGTCATTTCTAAACTGGCAGAGGTAAACCCTAGCAGGAGCCTTAGGACCAGGGCCTAGGGCTTCACTCTTATTAAGACATAGCTGATTCAATGCTTTGTACACAGGACATTTGGTAAGGTCACAACTCTCCAACTCAATCCTGTCATCAAGGTCAAGACTTAGCTTGCCTTATGGCAGCTATACTGTCATATGAAAAAGTAACTCAGCTTAAGACTCAACTTTTCTTTCTCTATAGTGTGTTTCTCCCTGGATCTTAGAATAGAAACTATTGGCTCCCCAGGTTTCTTAGGCATTAATATTGTTATCCTCAGTGGTCAACTCCAACCCTCTTATCCATATGCCCTCCTCCCCAGTTCTTTTGCCCAATAAAGAGCTGCCTAGTCTTAGGTCTGTGTTAGAGTGCTCAAAGGGAAGAGCAATAGCCCTTACTTTGAGCCCACAGCTATAATGAAGAATAGGCAAAGTCAACTAATGAGAAAGTACCAATCAGAGGGATATAACAATAGTTGCCACTTAGGTGAACGCTGCTCCTTGCCCTGCCCTGAAGCCAAACCATCTGGGGTTAACTTGATCAATTCACTGCGCTAAGAAGGCAGAGAGGAGACAAATGAAGCAGCCTCTCACTCTAGACTCAGAGGCTCCCCTGAGAAGGAGATACCCTGAAAACCAAAGGCTCCTCAACATTAGACAAGTACTGACCTAAGAATGAACATTCAAGCTAGGCAGCAAATCCTGCCATCAAGGCATGGATATTTATTGAAAAGCAACATATATGTTAAAACATCTTTATATACATTTTCCCAATTACAAGATTATAAATATACAAACATGAGTTCTGTCAAAGTCAGCATCTTGAGTATTAGAGAAGAACTGTAGAAAACCTATATCCTAATTTCATCAGTTAAACAGGTATTCCCCATCTCCCAGTAAAAAACTGGCACAATTTCATTCAACTTCTCAAGTCAAGCATTACACAGAATGGTGTTCCAGACCAGTACCAGTACTCCGTTCTGAGTGGGGAAAACAATCTGTCTAAAATTCAGAGAGCCTCCAGAGAGTTCAGGGAAAATGAGGAGTGAAGGTAACTCTATTCAACTGTATTTGATTAAACTCCATGGTTTTTTAAGTAATGAAATATTGAAGTACCCTCTGACTGGCCAGAGCAATGTATTCAAGCCAGGAAAATGCCATAATAATGGTTATATTTCTTCTTGTCAAGCTGGAAGGGAGGTCCTTGAGCAACACTGTTTTGAATTGAGAATTTAATCTCAGGAGAGATCTCTGTCTTATAGAGAACATTTTGGCAGGGACAGGACTGGCTATAAGACTTTATCTATATCCTCATACTCCAGAAAATTAAGGCAAAGGTCTTACTGACTTGAGACCAGTTTGTGTCTTTATTATAAAGGCAGCAAAGGTTAATTGGAAAATTGAGACTGTCTTCGGAAAAGGCATACAAGAAAATGGAAGAGGCAAGACTACTAACAGTTCCTAGGTCCTCTGTTCAAGAAGTTTCTCTTTCACTGATTTCCAGCTACTGTGGTGCTTATCTTAGAAGTGTGAGGAGTCATTCTGGTACTGACTTTCACTATTTTCTGTAATGCCACATTCTTTCCTTCCTCTTCCTCCTCCTCCAACAACCTCTACCACAAAGAGGTATCAATCTGCTAAAATAAAATGGCAAGTGTTTAATGAGGGAAGTAAGGCTCCATATAAGTGTCCCATGAATCCATGTTGTAAACACTATTAGAGTAGTGGCCAATGTAGGCAATAATACTAGGAGAGGTATCCAGAGCCATACAGTGGAAAGAACTGGAGTGTCTGTCTGTAATTCTTAATGCATTGATTTGGAGGAAGTCAGGATCATCAGTGTGAGCAGCAACTCTAACCTTCAGTGCCAGGAGCTTCTCAAAGCAATCTCAACAGAGTTGCTAGCAGCAATCCTTGATGGTGTTAACTTTCCAAGTATTTGAAAATGCTTCGCTTCAATACTGAAGTGCTATCATCTGTTTTGAGGCGCTTCGGTGAAAGAGATGTGACTGAAGATGGACCTCTTCTCCTCATCTAGAGAGCAGAGAAGGAATCAAGGCCAGCTCAGAATCAATAGCCTCATACAAGCACTTATCTTCAGTTGGCTCTTAAGCAACTCATAATCATGAACAATTAACAACAGAAAAAAAAAAAAGAGTATAAACTTTCCAAGCAAATTTTACAAGCTGATTACTTACTAAGGGCAGCAATTCCCTACATTTTCTTAGGGAATGCAGGATTTCAACACTGCAGCAAGCATATGCCTTTAAGCCAGAATTTTTTCTTTTTTTAAATTTTAAAAATGAATTATAGAATGTTATACATCCTACTTTGGTGAGTAGCAACTGTGATCTTAAAAGTTTGTGACCAGCCCTGTAAGGTGCAATTATTGGTCTCTCCTCGTCTGGAGCAAAGAAGAATGATGAAAATCAAAGATGCATGGAAACAATTAGTCCAAAGGACTTATGGACCATGTGAACCCCAGCCTCAACGACCCTGAGATCAGAACTACCTGGTGCTCACTTACCACTGCTGACCACTCTGAAAGGGATCACAATAGGAGGTGCTGGATACAGTGGGGAAACAAATGTGGAACAAAATCCTAAATAGGACCAGGCTTCCTGGTCTGATATCCTAAACAGGACCAGGCTTCCTGAGACTATGGCCCTTAAGACACCCTTCAAGCCTAGACTGAACTCATTCCCCATGGTTCAACTTTCAGCCAGACAATAGACAGGCTTATAAGGTGAATAATACCAACAATATCTGGTGAATAACACCAGGGAGGTACTCATTAGAACAAGCAACATTACAAGATCAAAGGTCACCATGTGACCAGGAATAAAGCTCAGAAGTCAGAAAGGGATAGGAAAGAACCACAAAGGGAAATGGTAAACACAAGGAAGAAGTGGGAAGAGTGCTATTATATTGTGGAGATTGCAATGAATGTCACAAGACAAAATGTGCATGAACCGTTGAATGGAAAACTAATTTGCTCTGTAAACTTCCACTGAAATCATATTTAAAAAAAAAAAAAAATTGGGAAGCCACTAGATCAGTTCTGAAATTCCCTACCTGAGACTTAGAAGATTCCTTTGCTGCCTCAGCCTTGACAGGAGAAAGTGTGTGGAATATAAAGTTTCTTGAATTTCGGGGACCAGTAGGGTTGAGGTCAGACAAGGCAGCCAGTTTCTGAAGCACAGCTTTAGGCTGATTGAGCAAGGAGCCCATCTTTAGCTGAGGAAAGAAGAGTCATTGGTATCAAACTCCAATATTAAATAATGAAAAAACCAGTGCATCCTTGTCACCTCCCAGGTACTGCAAGGACATATTCTTACCCTCCTCTGAGATCTATTTACATTTCCTGCAGCCACCTCCCTCTAATAGAGAGATTCATTTAGTTTGGCCTGAGTGTTTATAACCTGCATACAATGACATCAGGCTAACAAGGTCTCCAACCAACCTGATGGGCACTTCCTGGTTTGATGGCTTCAAAAGGACTTCTGAGTAAAGAGTTTGATTCCTGAACAACCATAGTGCGACTAGCTGGAGAGAAAAGACAGAAAGCCTTATTTTGGGCAAAGCTGGGAATAGTCATTTTTTAAAAATTAGTATTACTTTTCAATAATTTATTTTTGTTTTTGTTAAGAATAAAACAAAACATACACCAACTCAGCAGTTTCTAAGTATACAATTCAGTGACACTGATTACATTCTCCGAGTTGTGTAACTGTGCTCATCCTCTTTCTAAGCTGTTCCTCCCCATTAACATAAACTCACTAGCCCCTAAGGTTCCTCCTATCTAATCTTTCAAGTTGCTGCTGTCAGTTTGATTCTATATAAATAGCTTAAGGCAGACATTCTTCCTAGTTAAGCAAAACTATGGTTTGGTTTTAAGAAGACTTCAGGAGATATTTTTGGTTTAAGTTTTAAAAGATTTTCTCAAGCAGTGGTTTCAGAGGTTCATCCAGCCTCCATGGCTCCAGAAGGTCTGGAGTCCATTAGAATTTGAAGTTCTACTCTGTATCTTCCCCCTTTTGTTTCAGATTCCTCTACAGAATATTTGATCAAAATGTTCAGCAAAGGTAGCCAGGAACCATCCAGGTATAATTCCTTCTAAATCTAAGCAAGCTAAAAAGGCTTCAAACCAACAAGCAAAAACCATGAGAACTCTATTTTATAATGGTGACTTTGAAATTTCACAAGTCCAGCAACTACTGCCCAATACTCTATGATCTAAGAACACTGTCCGTCCATCCCCCTCAACCCTGGGGTGGGGGGCTATTTAAGACAGAAGCTTATGACTAAGCTACAATAGTTCCTGAAGGCTGGAGTCACCCCCAAGGCTCCACCACTAACAATCCAGGGGCTACACCCTGAGGAGGAACAGGAGCGCACCACTCTTCTGAAGTGTTTTGGCTGTAACTTTCTTGGCCAGCATCATAAACTGACTGTCTTCTCCAATTTCTTCTTCTTCAGCTGCAATCTTCCCCTGCTGTGCCTGAAAATAAAAATCATAAAGCATTAACACAAAAGTCTACAGCTCCTCCAAACAGTTAGCATAGCATGGGCTGTGAAGCTAGAGTACCTGGGATATCATTTGTTTTCTTTTTTGCAACCTTTTGCTGCTTTATAAAGAGAAAAAAATTTTTTTTTGGACAAACATGAAGAGAATTGCTTATTGTAACCTTATCTCAAAGCATATAAGAAAACTCATGGATTAAAAGGGACAGCAATATATTGCCTAAGATTTTGAAATTATCAGGACAGATTAGGTGACTGGGTCCTTTCCTCCTCCTAAACTGACCAGGGTCAGAAGAGGTAATTTCCTTGCAGATTTCCTACCTGGTCTCGAAGCCACTGCTCTCGTTCAATTCGCTCCTTTCTCCATCTGGCTTCTGTCTCATCAAACTGTTCTTCAATCTGATCATCATCAGAGTCTCTGTGGAACAAGTCCATCTGGGAAGCATCGTCTAAAGCAGAGAGGTAAGGCTATCAGCACTCTGCAATCCTACTGGAAAGGGTGCTTGGACAGGCACAAAATGAACCCTTATTATTTCTCACATACTACCATAAAATTTTCCAACCTACTAAGAGAAAACAATCATTACTCCACCATAAACTGCTACAGTTTTGATTTCCAGTTGCCATGTTAAACAGAAGAACAAACAAGTACACATGTACATCATAACCATTTGCTTCTAAAGGCAACAACCAAGATACCTATGTTTTTCCATCGGAATTTCCTCATTCGCCCAGGACCATCACTGTGCAGATCTCCATCAGCTAGGTACCTTTCTTGGTATAAACGTAGTTGTCGCTTATCATCATCCAACATGGTTTTCCTATGACAGGAGAAATAAGGTGTTCAAAACCAACTACTCTGGCTGGTTATGGGGCTTGCCTTAAGATGCACCGCACTCCTCAGAAGGGCTTGCTGGGATACTGACATGTGTATTTTCTTGACTTGATTCTGCAGTTCCTCATCAGAAGGAAGTACTTCATCAATTATATCCTCTTCATATTCATTAATATCTTCCCCATCATACTCGTCTTCACTTCCCACGTCACTCCCTGACACCTCTGCTTCATCTTCCAGGTATTTTTTCAATCTCCTGAAAAGCAATTTTGAAGATTAGAAAAGGCAACAATGAATGTATATACCTACAGAATATGAAAGCAATTGAGAAAAGAATATAGTTATCTCTAACAATAAGCTTAAGTTCATAATACATTTTAATATTAAAAAGCCTATCATTCAATACATACTATGCACCCAGAAGGGAGCCCTGGTGCTAAAGGGGCAGGGAGGTGGCATCTTCTGACTTCCTCTAACTTCACAAGAGGAAGACAGAGTCAGCAGCAGCAGCCCAAGACCTGTTCCTATGAGGCCAGACCTGCCGCCACACTCCAGCCCTCTTACCATCCTTAGTCCTCAACCATCTTTCTCGTGACACCCACCATTTCTTTGCTGCAGTGGCCACACAGAACTCACAGATTATGGGGTTTATTAGGGAAGCAACAAGCTACAATTCATGTTCAGAAACATGCTCAGGATACAGTTCTTTGATCAGGACACTCTCCCCTCTGCTGTGTCCTTAAACATGCCTCTCTAGCCCTTGGCCTCTCAGCCTGGCCTTTGCCTCTGTGGGCTAGGTAAATCTGCCTCTCGTGCCTCAGTTGGGCATCTCTCTCAGCCAACAGTGAGATTCCCCTTGCTTCTAGGAGGGCTCATCTTAAGCCTGGCAGGTAGCAAAATTAACCAATCCCAACATCAGAGTTCTACACACCTGAGAGTGAGCAAGCTTTCCCAGAAAATTACTTGATGCTGAGTCAACAGAAATACCCCAGGTGGATGACTTTAACAATCAGGAGTTTAAAAGCAGCTACTCAATTACTCATGGCAAATTCCACCATGGAGTTAAGTGCCAGTCTCATTATAGGAAATAACTACTACCAGCTGCCCAGCCAAGTTGACACATATTTGCATCGTCCTACCCAGTGATCTGGTGGGAGTTACAAAGACTATGGCTAGAAAAGCCATACCATGCAACTCACTACACCGCACCTGGTTGCACAGTGGTTAAAGCACTCAGCTGCTAATCAAAAAGTCGACAGAATTCACCAGCTGCTCCACAGGAGCAAGATGAGGCAGTCTGCTCCTGTAAAGAATTATAGCCTTGGAAACCTTATGGGGCAAGTTTACTCTGTCCTATAGGGTTGCCATGAGCTGGAATCGACTCGATGACAGTGTGTTTGGTTTTAGAAATGTGCCAAGAGCTATACGTTACAAGCATTACCTCAGGAGTGGGAACTATTACGGAGTCTGTGAGTGGTGTCAACAGTTAATGTGCTTGGTTTGAGCATCCAGAGGCACCTCAGAAGAAAGGCCTGGTGATCTACTTCTGAAAAATCAGCCACTGGAAACCCTGTGGAGCACAGTTCTACTCTGACACACCTACAGTTGCCATGAGTTGGGGTCAACTTGACAGCAACTGGGTCTTTTTTGGTACTATTATTCTCTCCATTTTACTGTTGAAGAAACTGAGGTTCAAAGAGATTAAATGACTTGCCCAGCTAGAAGGTACCAAAGCCAGGATTCAACTAGGTTCAGTGACTCAAAAGCAAGAACTCTTATTTTCCTCTATACAATTGGGACATATCTGCTAGAAGGTTCAAACTATTTTGATTTGTGCTGAAGCACATCAGCTTCAGGACACAGACTAAAGACAGACTAGCTCTTCTTTGTTGCTGTCATTAGCTGTTGCTGAGCTGATTCTGATTCATGATGACCTTATGAATAACAGAACAAAATATGGCCCAGTCCTGTGCCATCCTCGTAATTGTTGGTATGTTTCAGCCCATTGTTGTAGCCACCATGTCAATCATCTCGTGGAGGTTTCCCCTTATTTTCTGCTAAGCCTCTACTTTACCAAGCATTATGTCCTATTCTAGTGATTAGTTTTTCCTGATGTTATGTCCAAAGAAAAACAGGCAAAGTTTTCCCATCCTGGCTTCTAAGAAGCATTCTGGCTATATTTCTTCCAAGATAGATTTGTTCCTTTTTCTGCATGCCAATTCATTAAATCTTGACCCTCAAGTTAGAGTCATGGCCGAGGCTCAGAGTTCCTCAATAATCAAAACCAGTCCTAATATTCCCAACAACAACAAAATAAATAAAATTTAAAGAGGAGGAAAAAAAAAAAAAAGGCAACCCAGATAAAATTCAAAAAACCAAAACCACT